ATTGCTTTGGAAAAAAACCAGAAATACTAAAGCTTCTGTTAAAGCTTGCATAGTCATGGATCTTCCTGAGAAATGAGTGCAGAATACATGTGACTGATATTGAGAGGGGGATGGCAGAAACATCATGTCCACGCTAAAGAATGAAAAACAATTTGGACTCGCACTTCTAGGGCAGCTGCATACCATGAACCAGATGCACATGAAGCAGTAGTTCAAGCACATACCAAACAGCATAAGCACCTGGAGAAAAAATGTCTATCCCAAACTGCTTTGGAGTCTTTGAGAGAAGCTGAGATTGCACTTTGGGGTGACGGACCAGGGGGTATGAAAACATAGAACTAAACTACAAGCAATAGCATTTTTCCTAGATGGCATCACAGACAAGGGAAAAGACCCTTGAGAGCACCACTGGAGTCAGTAGCTCTCCTGCATGCCTTTTGCTCATCAGGGTATCCACTGGGAAGTTTTAATCAAGCATGTCTCTGTTAATGACATGTCAGGGTTACTGACATGTCAGGACATACTAATGCAAGAAGTGGACTCACGGGCATAATCCAAATGTTCCAATGATTTCGAAAACTGATTTTGAAAATTATTAACCCACACAGAGTCAAAGGTACCACCTGGAGCAGGAGGGATTTGTACAAGTGTTGTACATAGTAGGCTTGTTTATTAATATAATTTTCTTGATGTAGGAGTTTACTCCAGTTAATGACTCTGCTCTGAGGATCCACACTTGTGACCTGAAAGCAGGGCTCAAGAAGGGTCAGAGGGGAAATGAAGGCTCGCCTGTTCCACCTGTGTGACCCATTCCCAGCCTGGGAACTGAGGAGACAAGCACCCTTCTGCTGAATGTTACTGCTGCAGCAGGCAAGTCATGACTTTTCACTTGCAAAATATTTGTCTGTGTTTTATTCTGTTTACCATCACATTTCCAAGTCTGCAGAACTAACTCAGGCTAAAGGTATCATGGAATGGGGACTGTGCTTTTGAAACAAAACTTACCTAAAAGAATGAACCGATAGTTTTCTCCTTATTTCTCCTGAGAAGCATTCAGAGACAGCTGCAAAGAGCGTGAAGCTGGGACAAGTTTCAGTAAGTGACCCCATCCATTTTTTCCAACCGGGTGATATTCAGCAATATGAATGTTTATGGGAGAGTGGGACCTGGCAATGCAACAGGGTGCTGAGAATAGAAGTTGGAGATTATGCTAATCATGCCACTAAAGGATTAGAGAAGGGCAGGTTATCTTATCACTTTTTATTTGTATTTTTTACTCTTCATACACAGTTTCTTGACAATTGTTCTGTTAGTTCTTTTGTGGAAGTTGGAAAAGCTGTTCTGTTAGCTGCTGAATGGTAGTGCTCCATCAATCTGCTCTATAAGCTCTAAAAACTCGTGGATCAATGTGATACTGCTATGGGATCAAAGGCAGAGTTTCTCAACTCATCTACAGGAACATGAGCTGTAATGCACAAGGGAGATTCTGCAGACCCAATGATTCGTGAGGCAGAGCTTATGAGTCAGTAGAAGTTTCCGTTTCTGATAAAATACGCAAGTCCTAAACCAATGTTTTTATTATTTTTCTTTTTTTTTTCCCAAAGTAAAACTATATTTCTATTGCTGATGTAATTTCTCTTTTTAAAATACAATTACATGATAAATCTGGCAAATGCAAAGCAGGTCCTCCATGGCACTAAGCAGATTTCTCTCATCTAAGGATTTGGCTTTAAGAGTTTTTTTAGCCCATCAATTTCAGCACAGTTTTACATGCTAAAAATACTAATCAAATCTAAGTAACAAATCTAAAAACTCCCAAATCTTTTTCTCCCAGATGATGTAGCTATTTTAGGTAATACTTGGTTTATATATACATCACACAAGTTTGTATACAAATGGTGACGTAAACTTTCAGACAAGCTTCTGCTCTTCGCTCAATCTTGTCTAATTGGTTTTCCATCATCCCCAAATATTGCCATTTTATGATTATAACCAGGTTTTTTTTTTGGTTAAGTGGAACATTAAAGAAAATAAAGCAAGAGTGAAGAGTAACCAAAATGTATTTGATAACATATAGACCAAAGATAAAAAGGTTCAGTAAATGTGGAGCTGCTATGCATCAGGATTCCTGCAACAGCCACTGCAAAATACTTGACTTCCCAAGAGTTGCCTGTGTCTAATTATTATCCCAGAGAAGCTTCCAAGCACTATTTTTTTCCAAGTGACACTTTTCTAAAAGGGTAGACTTTCTGTCAGTAGAAGACAGTAGGATTTACCATCCAGAAAGGGTCCGTCTGCCTAGATCTTAGAGGGCTCACTTAGGACTCCTACAGAAAGGTGGCTTTTCTCCATCTGTCTGTTTATACAGAATTATTTTCTTTTTAATGACTTGCTCTTATCAAAACGTCTCCAGATGATGTGGAAACAATACTGTGTATAAGCTACAGGAAAAAAAGAAATTGGAAAAGATAGAATTTGGATTGCCATCCCAAACCCTTCTCAGTCATCCCCCCAAAACCTCCCTAAATGAAAATCTTCTTGAGAAATGAGAAGGACTAAGGAGAAAGGGAGAGGTAGCATGTCTTCTTCAGTTTATCTTGATTCGAGAGGAGGAGGCTGTGGTTGCAGCAGGGTGTTGAAGGGAAATGCAGACAATTGTTAGTGCAATTGAAAAGTGCTTGGGACACTGGGGTCAATTCAAAGCTCCGCTGGAGATTTCCTGGGTAAACAAGGGGAATCCACTTGATCTCCTTATGACTCAGTTTCTTGTCTATAGAATAGGGAAAATAGACGGTATTGTAAGACTAGGTGCACTAAAGATTGCCCAGATGATCACAGGGGCTACAGAGAGGGGTTTTTTCAGCAATACTGCCACCCCTAGAGAGGTTCTGAGGCCATTTTAGCCAGCTCTGCAGCATGTTACTCCCTTGTCCAGTCTCGTGTACTACCCGTGAAAAGGAAAACAAAACTACAGCCAACCAGATTTACCAGGTATGGTAAATAAGTGGGTATGGTATGGTACAGTACGGCACGGTATGTTATGGTATGGTAAAAAAGTACTGATTTACCAGTGATTCTCAAATTTTCTTGGCAGTGCAGCCTATATACATTTCCTCACAGCATGCAGCCACCCATATAGCACATACATAGGAACTGACAACAGACTTGTTTTTCACATATCCCTCGGATTCAGCCGGCGGCTCCCCTCCTCCCTCCCAGGGATGACAGCCCGCAGGACTCCTGTGACAGCCCCCTCCCCAGCCTGCTGGAAGGAAACTTTTCCTTTCTTCTCCCATTCCTGCTGCTGGCAACGTTTGGGCTTTCCCTGCAGCGGCTCCCTCGGTTTCTCCTCTTCTTTTTTTCTTGGAAGCAGCGCTTGGGTGAAGTCCATTCAACTTTCGCGGGTCATGCATCCAGCACAACGCCTAGACGCCCTAGCTGGGCTGTTTCTGAGGGCTGAGGGGAATACGGTGCTATTGATGCTCATCTCGCCATTCCGGAGCAGAATTGCTTCTTCGACCTCTAGTTATGTAGTAACAAGGGGAAAATTTCCTGAAATTAGACTACTGCAGGAACTCTGGTTTTAGTCACAGCTGTCATCCGAGAAACAAATTTCCAGGCATTTTTAATCTAATTCACTTAATTTTTATGTAACTGAATTACAAAATGTGATTAAGCATCACAGAATCTTCGGCATTGCGCCTGCCTAACCTTTAGTGAAACATGAAACAGAGAAACTTATTAGGAGTAAGAAGAAATGGTGAAATCGTCAGTATGGCTTCGGTACAATCGTTACTTACTGAGTAGGAGGATTAGAGGCACAAAAGCTCGGGGGGCGGGGGGGAGAAAAAAAGAAAAAAGAAAAGAGCATAATGACCTTTTCATCTGAAATTCTTGCCGCGATTCTTTGCCGGGTATTTCAGGGCAGGCACTGAAAAGACACCGTGCGACAGACACTGACGAGGTGCTCGCAGGAGCAGCCCAGCCCTGCCGGCCCGCCCGCGGCTCCCACGCCCACTTTCCCCGCGGTTCTTTCCCCGCTGCCCACAGACCTCTCCGAGGCAGGGCAAATTCGGAGGAGAAAATCCAAGGCTTGAAACTGTCTGATTCCCCCCCCTTGCTGTGGCAGGGACTCCAGCCCCGAGATTTGGGCTTGAGGCACGTCAGAAGGAAGAGTCGCCCCCCTCCCCGCTGCCGGGGGTTTAACGTGCGCTCCAGCCGCGCTCCCGCTGTTACAGGCGCCCACGGGGCTTGGATGCACCAAGCGCTGCTTGGAGGTGGGGGCTGAGCCGTTTCCCACTAGCACACCCAGTTTAAACGAAAAACCAAAGACTAGTAAACACCCCGCCGCCTGCTATAAACAAGCTGAAGCCCGCAGGAAAAAAATTGGGGGGTTGAAGACCAGCTCCCTGCAGCGCAGCCCCTGCGTGTTCAGCCGCCGCGGCTTCTGCGAGCGGCGGCCCGTCCGACGGCGAGTCCCGGGAGGGAAGCCCCGGGAGGGACCGGCCCGGCCTGAAAAACACCGGCGAAGAGCTAGGGAAAGGAGTAACCCCGGGGCCGAGGGGGGGGGGCTCCGCAGGGAAGCACTCGGGGCGGGAGCGAAGGGCCCCCGGGGGTGCAGCCACCTCCCCTCCCGGGTGGGGGGCGCGGTGCGGAGTGTCCCGTCCCCGCCCCGGCCGCAGCCCCCCGCCAGCCGCCCGCTCTGCTGCTTTGCCAGGCGGAATCACGCTGCCGACGGGGCCCTGCTCCCCGCAAAACGACCTCATTAATAGAAATCAAATAATGGCGGGGGGGGGGGGGGGGGGGCAGGGGGGACGGG